GGGGGGGGGAGAGCCACTGAAGGAAGAGCGCAGCAGCCAAACTGCGCATGTGTGCGCATGCGCAGTTTAGCCGGGAGCCTGGATTGCTCTGGACGGATGCGCCGGCAATCCCACGGCCACGCTTGATGCGGCATTCAAGGTAATTCCTCCTCTGTAGGTGGTTCTTTTTTACAGCGGCTTTTCCGGCTTTAGGGACAGGTGCGCGCCACTTCCCAGATGTTGCGGTGAGATCGCGCCCGTTTGCTGCGCCCCCGATCTGTCCCTCTCCTGGGCCAAAACCTTCCGTGTGACCGGGGCCAGTGTTCCTACACTACCACCATAGACTATGGCAATCCAATAAATCCTTGCTATAAAACTGAAACACAGCTTCTACTGATGAGTAAATAAACTGAATACTGCTACAAATTTACTAATACTATAAGCGGGAGCCCACGAGGAACTTGCAGGGAGGAGCATCCCATTTCCCTGCCTTTGCTTCCTCCTCGCTGCCCAATCTTGTCACACACCCCACCTCACTCATGCCCACTTTCTCCTCCCACCCCTTCTCTTTCACTCTTCCTCTGGTTTTTTTCATCCCATGGGGCTGGCACTTAGCTACCTCAGCAACAGGGATAGCTAGGGAATCCCACACCTCCTTATCCGCCCATCCCACAGGTCATTGCCTTGGAAGTGACAGGACAGTGAGTCCCACACCTCCTCCACTGCCTACTTCCAGTTTTGTTGCTGCCAATGGGGCAACAGCCACTTCATCAGTTAAGAAGCCTTGGTGGCTTTCCCTCCATGCTCCTCTCCAATTTCGCCTTAGCAGCTGAGGTCACACCATGCTGGCTTCTGCTTCTTCTGCCCCTCTCCTCCTCCTCACACACCTCGTCACCCGTTCTCTCTGGGTTTTTTGGTACCCCCTTTAATTTAGCATTCTTCTACCAACCGGAGTCACCCCCAGGTTTGTAGAATAGTCCTCCTATCTCCATGGCCCCAATCTGTGAATTTTAGTATCTGCAGATAGGGTCATGTTGAGTTAGATATACTCATGATGCTTCCATATTAGTTGTTACAGCAATCGCTACATGAATATTCTAATAATGAAAAATGCACTAGCCTGTGTTAATATAATTGAAATGGATGCAAGACATAGTCCAATGGACAATTTTCACAATTAAAGATTAAGCCACATTATTATACAGAAACCTGTTCCTTAACCCAGAAAAACAAAATTAAAGGTTCTGCAACTAATTTGTTAAAATGTTCTGGAGATGGAAAAACAAGCAGTTTAGCTGTATCTCATACACATTTTCTATACCAGCTCCCTAAAACATACCAGGTTACTTGTTGAGATAGGGGGATTATTCAAGAAACTTAGGTGTTTCCCTATGAAGGTCAACAAGGCTGTCTCCCAAAACAAGATTTATCTGTTTTTATTCTGTTGACATAGCAGAATACTTCTTAATATCAGTGTCAGGAGCAATGCTCCCTCTAACCTGTGGAGTCTTGTGAGCAAAATTCTACTTTGTGAGCTACTGGCATTAAAGTTGTGAGTGAGCGATTTGGCTACTGCCTAAATAAGCTTGCTATGGAGCCCCCCTTCCTGAGCTAAGACAAAAATGTGTGAGCTGGAGGCTAAAAAACTGAGTTACCTCACACTAACTCAGCTTAGAGGGAACACTGGTCAGGAGGCAACACCAGAATACCTCAGCCTCTATGCTGTTGGCCCTCCAGAGTAACTGGTTGGCCACTGTGAGACAGGATGCTGAACTAGATCTCTGATCTAGCATGCCTCTGCTTATGTTTTAAATAGGAATCTTCAAAGACTGTTCATGAGTTTCAGCCATTTGATTACATAGTATGGGACTTAAAATTCCACAATGTATTGAGTAATTAAATAAAGACAATATCAGCAAAGAACAGAAAAAGTCATAACATGTTATTTTACTAACAACAATCATTTAAACACATACAATACTTATGATTCCATTGTCGATGGCTAAAATATATTACAAGGCAAATTAGTGCAATTTCTAAGACAGCAAAAGGATAAAGTGAAACGATGGGGGCAGTTCTTTGCTGTGAGTGTGCCATGGAGACCTAAATCTATTGTATATAGACGCTGCCACAGAACACAAACACCGATTTTAATAGATTTTTCATCTCAGGAAAACTGAAAAATTGAGTTAGTGGCTACTCAAAAAGGTAGTTTCTAAGGGCTACTCAGCAGTAAAGTGATTAAAAAACACTGTTCAGTGATTGAACCAACTCCCCCGCCTTCCCAGGGAAGATGGCTCCGCCATGTGACGACTCTAAGAGGTACTCAGCAGGCTCGGAAAGAAAATGGCGCCGAGCACCACTAAGGGGAGGGGAATCGCTCCCAGAAGGCCAAGAAAGGGTACTTTATCCCCACCCGGCGCATCTGCGTCCCGTTTTCTCCCTCAGTAGATTACGGAGGCGATAACGAGGCACCTCCTATAAGTCCTCTCTAATGAGACTAGATCACTCGATTCTCGACTTCTAGTTCGTTTTCCCCTTCCCAGCCCTCCTTTCTTTCCCAAGCGGCTCATGAGACACTAATCAGGCAAGCCACCGACCTCCATAATTCCCCCTTGACCCTGGCCGGGCTCCGGAACCCGCTGCTGCCGCCGCCTCCCCATCTAACCGCCGCTGGCCCTTCCAGAACGTTCCTCCTCCGCCGCCTCTAACGTCTTCAACCAGACGAAAAAACCAAGTTCCGCCAATTGCGCCACCAAGCGTCTCAACTAGTAAGCTCTGCGTCACCTCACAGCGCTACGCTAATAGCGTACTATGCCGCATTTAGTTCTCTCACCAGCGCAAGCATACCGCAATCCCGAGCGCAGACTGATGTAACACCCCAGCCTTGATTTCCACTGCTAGCGTAGCAGGCGCCATATGCTTAGCGTAAAATCGTTTCAGAATACGGGCCAGTTGTTCTCATAATGGCGGACTTCGTTCCTACGTACTTTAAATTTGAATCTTTACCAATCTTCTCATTTACTTCGAAAAGGACACCATATTTTGAAATCATTATAATCCCAAGGCTGTCAAAGTAAACTGGACAGAAATACAACGTACAGACCCGCCGATTTCATGCAATCTCTGGACATTATTCGAAATACAAAAGTCATTTTATTGGGGACGTTCTTGGAACAGTTATTTCATAAAGGTTTTGTTTGTTGAATGAAAGGGTAGGTCATTAATTATGTTCGGTCCGAAAATGTCCGAAGTACGCATCGATACTACTTAAGACTCTTTCGGCAGTTTCCGAGTATGACCGGCCATCTTCGGTAAAGGTCGTTCCAACTCCGAAGTTCACTCGTCCCGTAATTTAGCGCCTTCGAGAACTTCCGGAAAAAACCCGACTGCCATAAAAGCCTTCGTGTCGTTTTCCGGAAATTGCCGAAGAGGTACGAAGAATAATAAACGCGCCAAAAAGGGAGGGGGCTTAAATTAACTAACGGCCCATACCCCCCCCCCCAAGCACTAGGGTTGCCTGGGGGGGGGGGGCTGAGGTATATAAAATGTGTTATTTCCTTTGAGCAATTTCCTTTGAGAGATTTCCTTGGATCCTAAAGTCCAACGACCTTCCCTCATGATCGGGGAAAATCGCTAAAAACGATTGGTAAGGTTTTTCTCCCTAGTTCGCTTTAACGTTTTCCACCCAAGAACCTCACAGGGGCAAACGATAAGCGAGCAGATCTGTAAGGACAAGGACCGTGAAACAAGCCACCATTCGTGTTCCCCCACCTTGGCGCGCCAACTTCCCCCTCCCCGGGCTCGTAGCCGCTTCAAAGGAGCTAAATTCTCAAAGAAACCCCATCTAAACCCTTCTCCTCGCCGCGCCCGCCATTTTGTCCCTCAACCCACGTTCAGTGTGAGGCCCTCTTGGTGAGCAGGAAACTCGATAGAGACACACAATGGGGTGTGGAGGGGGGGGGGAGAGTCGGCCATTATGGAGCCACGCCGTCCGTTACCTCACTCACCCAGTCGCTCTCCCGATCTCCACGAGGCATCTCGGGTCGCTGAAGAAACGGAGAAGGAAAGCGAGTGGGTTCTGGGATGCGATGCCTTGCCTCGGTCGCTCCGGCGGCTTCTCGGGTCTACACGCGGCAGAGGCGACCACAGCGGACGTGTGCGAAGCGGCTACGACAGTGGCGGCGGCGGCGCAGTGAAGGGCGGGAACGAGGGAGGGAGGGGGGTGGCGCTTGCAGTGCGCAGCGGCGCCGCCTCGCCCCTGCCCAGCCCCCTCGCGGCTCCCGCCCTGGCTGCGGCTGCCGCGGCCCCTCCCCCGCTCCCCGCCCCCTCGGACGTCGTTGCTGCTGGTTCAGTGCGCGCCGGGAGCCAGGAGACTACGGGGGAGCGGAGCCGCTGGGCACCATTGAAGTCCGTATTTTTCCTTTTCCCCCTACTCTCTTCTCCCCTCTCGTCTAACTTGTCGTGTTATGTGCATAGCAGAGGCAGGAGGCCGTGGCTCGTTTGGAGAATTCGGCTTACATTTTATGTAACTCCCAGAAATAACCAGGCGTGGCCTGTCTCTCCTCCCTCGTCACGTCCCCCCCCCTTCCTCCTTCCCCTCTATCGTGTCCGCCGTTTCTTGGCTCCTCCAGGGCCTATAAAAAAGGGCTCTTGTGGCGTAGGGCTGCCTTTAAGGTAATTTCCAACTAGGTCCCCCACTCCTTTGGGGGGGGGTGGGGGGGCGGCGGCGGTTTACTTGCAGTCTGGGGTGCAGGCAGTGACCAGGCATACACAGGTTGGAACATCTCGAACCCCGTCTTCACCTTTCCTCAGAAGTAAGTGTAGCCGCCAGCCTTGGGAGTTGATCCCAAATAAGTGCATTAGCCGCCTGTGAATGGGGGAAGATACGGGAGAGGACCAGACGGGGGGAAAAAAGGTGGCGGCTGCCTGAGCCACAGTCGAAGAACAGCCGCGAGAGGCGTAGACACATTTTGTTTTTAAAAAGCCGTTGAAGTTTTTAGCGCCTCGGATGGGTGGTGGTGTGCTTGCAGGTGTGGGGAAAACGTGGCGGCGGCGGCGGTTATGGTGGAATGGTGGTGATTCGACCTCCACAGTGGCCTGGAGTTTTCCGCGCATGCTAGGGACGCGGCGTTTCCGATCGCAGCAGCCTTCTGTTCTGTTGGATATGGGAGGCCCATCCAGGCTCACTTTGCATGCATCGTCCCCCGCCCAGCCTTTTCTTGATCATCTGCCTCGTGGTTAAGCATTTAGTTCTTGAACAGGCCTTTGTGACTCTGTCTCATTCCATTTCTTCTAAGTCGAAGCGCGATGAGCGATTTGCATGGCCTAGAAGCTACGATGGTACTGCATCTCCTCCAAAGAGATGGGAACCAGGCAGGATTGCTGAGTCAAAGAGTGTTCTTGGTCTCTTCCATGCTTTTCTCATTCTCATGGCTGATGGTCCTTACTGGTTGCCAAGAGACCACACTGGAAATGAGCTGTAGTGGGATTTAGACTCAGGATTTCTATTAATTTTTTAGGAGATTTGTATCCTGCCTTTAAAAAGTAAATTGGTAAAGTAATTCTTTAAGATACAAATGTTAGATATGTGTGTGATTTTTAAGATAGGTAGATAGCCTATATTTCTATGTAATTAACCAGACCATAATCCTGAATTCTCATGACTGGTCAGAGCAATTGATCTGAATCCATGTAGTCTAAGAATATAAAATCAAACCTTACTGCTGAAAGTTTTATTACATTATTGTCTGTTATCTAGGTTTTTGATCAATAAGGCTGTCCTATAGATTTTTGTGAGTGGTAGATTAGAATGGAAGATATAAGTGAGAAGGCATGTCAAATGTCTAATAAATCCAAATAATATTAGCACAACCAAGGTATAACATCAAGGTTTATTAACTTGTATTTGAAATAACAGTCATTTTCACCACTTGGAATAATGCATTGAGCTCTTGGGGGATAGAACAAGGACCATACTTGTATTGAGATGCCTTTCTCTGAGTAATGCAACATTCCTTTTGTCATGCATTTTTCTAGTAAAAGCTCAGCAAGTCTGCAATAAAAATGGCCACCAATAAATCTACATTGGTAAGTTCATGAGCACCTAACATATTTAAGGATTTAACCACCGTGTTTCTTCAAATTTATACATTGGCATCTCTGTGTAAAAAGATACATCCACATCTTCCCTCCCCAGCATTATTCTACCAAAATACCAGATCCCAAAAAGTGAGGTTACTAGATAGAAAGCAAAGTTTGTTTTCACTCCATTTGCCACTTTCAGTAAATTTAATTTTTGTAGAAATTAATTCTTGAAGCCTGCTCTATACATAGTATCTATATGCAGTATACAGAGAAGGGGATGGAATAAGATCCAGTTAGCCTATCTTTTCATTCTATAGTGGAAAGCTGTTGAGTGGAAAGTAAGTTATAATCAGTTTAACAGATGTTGAAAAAAGTGATCAGCCTCCACTGAAAAAAAAACTGTGGCCCTGGTCACATGGCAAAGTTGCCGCGGGAGAGGCAGGGATGGTGGGTGGATTATCCGGGCGCAATCACACCCCAACATCTGGGAGGTGGAGCGCACCCGTGGCTTACCGCCTACAATGCGCCTTTAAAAACTAGTACCTCCAAGGTACTAGTAAACGTTTGCCACGGGCTGCCTCCAGACGCCTGTGGTGTGATCGCGCTGGCGCGCGGCATTCTCCTCCGGTCCCTCGTTTACCCGCCGGCGCTGAGGGAAGGACCCGTGGTGTGGTTAGTTAACTATAATGTTGAAATAGATATTGTTCCTCTTGCCTATTGTCAGAGAGTAAATTATCTTGAACTGTGTTTTGCAGATAATGGCTTGAGCATAACACTGACTGAATCTAAATACATTTACAAAACTGTCCAGACAGAGTGGCTTAGTTTAACCAGGGCAGTGTCCCCCAGACTTGGTGCCTGATCAAAGTCAGTTTCCTTTTCTCCCCCAGATAACCTTTGAGGCACACTTCATTGCAAATAAATATCCATCTATATTGCTTCTCAGTCAGAACAATGGGGCACCTATTTTCTTTGCAAGAAGTATGAAAAAGCCCTTTTTGATGTTGCATCCTACTGTCACCAACTAAGGCCAGTTAGTGAGGGATGAGATTGTGTTTTCTACCAGTGCTGAAACTTCTGAGGTTTCCTGCACTTGTTAATAGTAGTATGGGTGGAATCAGAGTCCTGGTATGTTTTCATAATCTCCCTTGGCATGATTCTATTTCTTGTATATTTGCAGAGAGGAGGAGCTCTCCCTGTATCCTCTTTCCATAAGTAATAGTGGGTAATTTACAATGGTGGCTTAATTCTCCAAGGTACATAGTGTGGGGATTGCTGAGCTAGTGATGCTGTCAAGGACCACTCAAGAGAAGGAAATAATTAGTTGGCAGTGGATATGTTCAACTTAGTTGCCCCCATAAGAATTCATACCTTGTATTTTTATACAAAGCCTATTCAAAAGGGTGGCTTTATTGGTATGCATAAATATTGATCATTGAATGATTAATGGCAATCCTGTTCTAAATGGAAGAAAGATAAATCAACTGCTGAGCTTTTAACTGAGGATGCAGTTTGGAAATAGAGAGCTTGTTGTATCAATGCATCGTTCCTAAGAAAGGGAGCATGAATTCCGCATTCTACACATTGTGCCAAGAGCTGCAAATATTGTGTATACAACTGTTTGACATCCAGCTATATTCAAAGCCCCCCACCCCTAACACGCATGCAACATTTGACATGTTTGGCAACTGTACATCTTTGGGTAAAAATGAATTTCACAATAGTGGCTTGGAAATACATGTGGGTAGATGGTCATCTAGAGAGACTTAGCATGCAATCTTGTGAACACTTTGCTTGAAGCTTACTTACCCATTGAATAAACTTGAGTATGATTCTGAGTATATGTGCTTAGTCTTACACTTAATCTCTAGTGTGCCTTTTATTTAGTATAGTTTAGGGGGGGAAATTCTCAAGTGTCTTCAGTTTTGTCTCAGTTTACATTTGTAGGAAAATACTTGGATTCTTCTTTATTTTAAGTTTCTAGGGTAGATTATAGTATATCCATAATGAATAGCTTAGTTTGAGATGCTAGTGTCAGTCTCCATTATTAGGTGAAATTAATCTCCACACATTTTCCCTTTTTCATCTTTACTGACATTCTTCAGGAAAATTTCATTTGGGTTGGTAGTTTATTAATGGGGTAAGCAGTGAAATTAGAAATTTGTCTGGATTGCATTTCAGTTAAATGGGCCAGGACAAAAAGAAATGTCTAGACTTGTGCAAGGTCCTGTTCAAGTACAGTAGATTTTCTTTCATCTGAACACCCATTCCCCTTGACATACCACAAAACACTGTTAAAACTCAGGGGGAGGGGGGCTACAGTTGACACCAAAAAAAGTCCTGGGACATTATTGGATTCATAGTTTGATCCTAACCAGTTTTGGAATCAGCATTGTAAGCCCCACATTGTAGGCTCTTGTGGGGAAAATAACATGTCTTCCTCTCATTTACCATGTCAAATTCTACTTCTCAAAAGTAGAGCATCCAAACAGTGTTCACAACATTTGCTTTTGGTTCTAACAGAATTGCAGCACTTTTAGCATGACACTAATATATTGGTTTCAAGCCAATGCATAGGAATATTACCAAAAAAATAACATATCCCATTAAACTGAATTGTGCATTATTGAGGTTGGAATGCCTTGAGGATGATGTGGATGTAATAACTTACTTAAATTTCTGAATTATGTTTGGATGTTAAATGTGTTTTATGGAGATCAATTTTAAGCTCTTTTCAATCCTGTGTTTAATCTGGTAAACTGTATAATAATAAAAAAAACTCCATCACAGCAGACCACACTAATGTATTATAGATTGTTCCAGTGGAAAAGTCTCCATTTAAGTATGTTGAGCTCTACTATGAAGCTTTTGGACATGTACATTCTGTGTTTCCTAAGGAAATTGGAAATCAAGAATGGATGATTGTGGTAGAAAAGTCTGAAACTCTGAAAAGTATCAAGTCTATTGCTATCTTTGGAGCATTGCTGTTTCTTAAGCATGTATAACTTTTAACATATATGCAAATTATTTTAACTTCTACCTTTAAAATAAATCAGTTAGTGTTTTAAAAGACAGGGTAGCTGCCTCTTAATATTTTTCTTGTTTCTTTCCACAATTAACACTCTTAGATTTGCTTCTTGCTCTTCTGTAAAGCCTCTTACAATGAATTTTAAGAATGACAAGAAGCTACATGGAGATAATTTGGGCAGAGATGGCACTGATTGCACTGGACTAAAAACCCCTCTTTCAAATGAATGTCAGATTTGAGAGAACTGAGTGTCTTACTTGTAGACCCAATTGCTACTAACCTGGAGTTGAACAGTGGTGTAACTAGTAAGAAGGTGTTTTTTCTAATTATTTTGTTTTGTAGCACAAAATGGGGAAGAAGCAGAATGGCAAAGGCAAAAAAGTTGAAGAAGCAGAACCTGAAGAATTTGTTGTGGAGAAAGTCTTGGATCGACGTGTAGTTAATGGAAAGGTTGAATACTTCTTGAAATGGAAGGGATTTACTGAGTAAGGAACTTAATTCTTTCCATTATATCACCTGTAGCAATAGTTAGTGACATGTGCTGCATCTTTCCACAGCCATAGTGCCGGTGTAGGAAGGTACATGTGCTACTGAAAACATTGTGAAATGTTTATTGCAGCCAGTCACTCAGCAGAGTGAACAGTATGTTTATCTCAAAAAGTACCTTGCCCAGTTAGTTGTATGGTGGGGATATCTACAAATTAAACTATAAATAGGGTAACACAAATACTTCATATTACTGGCTATGTTCTACTTTATGCGTTAGGAATACTAATAGTGGGCAATAGTCGAGTTAAAAGCTAGAAGCAATGACTAGGATCTGTAAAAACCAGAAATTTATGTTACTCCATTTTGAAATGAGCAAAGAATCCCAGATGATGGTTATTTAAATTGGGGGGTTTGGAAGTAATAAAGAAGATAAAAATACCAGATTAAATAATTTCCCAGAATAAGTGGTGTCCTTTTATTGTGTTTGGGCATATGTATGAATGTAAAAAAATGCAGTAATATATGTAGAAGAAATATTTGTTTTATTATTGCATGTTAAGTTAATATGCTGCTTTGTTTTTTTCTTACTGTGTTATATTTTTCTCCACCCCTATTTGCAAGGTTCTGTAAACAGATTTCCAATTTTTCCCACATAAGATATTAGGCTCTTTAACACATATAATTAAGGGAAAACTGTTTTCATAGGAGGTTAGTTGGTCCTCAAAATACCCTTATGGTCTCATCCAGAGAGGAAGATTATGTAAAAACAAAAACTTGATTATCAGGTAATAAACCATAGTTAGAGTCACATTCATAAAGTTTGGAGAAACATTCATTATTCAAGGTATAGATAGGAACTCTCAGGCTGTAGCAAGTGATGCACTGTATTCTTGGTGCTTGGGAGGGCTTCTAGTGTCCTGGCCCCACTGCTGGACCTCCTGATGGCACCTGGTATTTTTGGCCACTGTGTGACAGTGTGTTGGAATAGATAGGCCTAACATTGGCTTCTCTTATGTTCTTAAGCTTAATGTTTCTGCTTTAGATTTTTAATTAATTTCGTTGTTTCATGAACTTTGTGTTTTTTCTCAGTGCGGATAATACCTGGGAACCTGAAGAGAATTTGGATTGTCCAGAGTTAATAGAAGCTTTTCTGAACTCTCAGAAAGCTGGTAAAGAGAAGACAGATGGTGCCAAACGAAAATCTCTGTCGGACAGTGAATCTGATGACAGTAAATCAAAGAAAAAGAGGGACTCTGTAAGTTAGTTAAAAAGGTTTGGATATTGTTTCCTGAATGATCCTTGGCATACCAGCAGATCCCTTAATAAGAATTCATGGGGCACAATTTTTGCATAGTGCGCTTTTTAGGGAGCAGCTACTAGCCTCTTGGTGGATCTGAAAAGTTTCCCAGAATAACTTGATACATTTGTAAAATGTATTCCTAACTATACCGTCCTGGGGGAAAAAAGCTATGTAGAATGTTGATAGGTGAAAGGCCAGACACATTGGATTGGATCCCACAAAGCATGAGTGTGGATTCTCCTTTCCCCAAATAGCTCCAGTATTGGGGATTAAGAGACTTAGTCATTGGAAACTTCAGTAAGGAGGGGGAATCAGGCACGGTCACCTCAGTAACCAGCAGCACTTCATTGGCAGAAAAAGCAGGGAGGGGACAACTTCAACCACTTTCTCCCTCCGCATTGTAGGTGCCTATTTGCATCCACAAAGATTCCAACAATCTGTGTGTGCAGGAAAATGGTGCCTTTATAGTGCCTCCTTAGCCTCTGAACTCTTTGAAAACCTGCATGTGGGCTTCCATTTTACACGTGCATATTATGGAATTAAAGCTTGGCCTCTTTTTACAGTTCTTGTTTCATGAAGCTGTGGATTCTGTGTAGCGGCATTTTACAATTGTGGAAGGATATGTAAACTAAACGAGTTTTTCTTTAAATATTCTAACAGATTGATAAACCAAGAGGATTTGCGAGAGGTCTTGATCCTGAGCGAATAATTGGAGCCACAGACAGTAGTGGGGAACTAATGTTTCTTATGAAGTGGTACGTGATAGAATGGAAATTGCAGTAGTAGTTGAGAACACATGTTAAATTTTGATTTGCTTTGAAATTGGAATAGATTTTATTCTGCTGGTGTAAACCAGTTAATGGGGAAGTATTGACTACTGTAGTGGAAGGGATGTGATCCTCCATCTCATTGATAAGTATTATTGCTTTACTGCTAATAGAGTTTAGAAGACTTCAGGGGAGTATAAGAAATATTTCCAGAGCAATAACCCCAGTTGATCCATTGTGGTAGAAGTAAGCAGGAGTCAGCGTACTAACAGATCAGCTGCCTGATGTTACATTTAAGTTTTTGGAATCATGTTTCACTGAGTTCAGTAAATTACTGTGATTTAAAATTGCAGCCTTGAAATAGCTACTATGGAAAACCTCCTTTCTCAGTTGCTGTCAGCTTATTTACTGGTGGCATAATCTACATTAATTGGTGAATTACCATCTAGTAACAGCAATAAATAGGACTGACACCCACCCCCATCCCTGGCTACTGTAATAAGCATTGGGTTTTCTAAATGACTTCCTGTTTGTGGAGAAGAACTTTTATGATTCTTTTCTAACAATGAATTTAGAGTTATAATCCTACTCCCACTAGTCTGAGTATAAGTCTCATTGATTACAAAAGAATAACTTCCAAATAAACATGCAAAGACTGAGCTGCATGAGTTCCTACTTCTGAAAAGAGCTAGTAAAGGTGCTTCAGATACAGATTGTACATGTTGGTTAATTTTAAACAGCATTTAAGTTTATTTTTTATTAAAACAGGAAGGACTCTGATGAAGCGGACTTAGTGCTGGCCAGAGAAGCTAATGTGAAATGTCCCCAAATTGTAATTGCATTTTATGAAGAGCGGCTAACTTGGCACTCATGCCCAGAAGATGAGGCACAATAATTGTTTGGCTTTTCTTTTTTTATATATGTATAAAGATATTAACAGCTGTTTGGTTTTGACTTACCAGAAATGTGGAAAATGTCTACATTCTAATATGATAAGTTTGATTATTTTTGAAGTCATGTGTTTTGCATAAACAAAAAGAAAAAAGGGTTTGTGCTATTTGCTTTGATTATTATGGAAGAGCATTTGATACTGCTTCCTGCATATTAGGTAAAGTGTTTTATAAAGTTCATAGTGACTCTTAATGGCAGTTTGAACAAACTCACAAGTGTTTTTGTAGCTCTCTATTTTGATTCACATGCATGCATCTTTATTCCCAACTTAGTCCTTTATCAGTGCAAGTGGAGGTATACCTTTTTTAAAAACATGAAGTCAATGGAGTGGAGATATACCTTTTTAAGACTATTGAAGTCAGTAGTCTTAGAAAGGTGTAACTCTGTTCAGGATTGCACAGTAAATCTATAAGGCTGTTATTTTCTGTATTTGTAGCTACGTGGTTCTGAGAGGACCAGGTGAAAACTTTGTAGTAAGTTGAAGGTGCAGACTGTATATTGTTTATTTTATTGTAAATACTGGTGAACGGTAATCAATAAAATACTTTTATATTCTTGTTCCCTCTTCACCAAACAATGGGAAACTAAGTCTTCTGAAGGTTGTTTTTGGAAGTGATGATATCCCTATAGGCACATGCTGAGTTTCCCCCATACAGGATTGATGAAACTACTCCGTTACATGCAATCCTCGGTTTCTTTAACAGCTTTTTTGTACTGTGTCTAAATTGGCTAACATAATTTGATGATCACACAGATCTAAGTCTTGCCAAAGTCAAATCTTATATCTACTATGTTGGCAACCAAAGCAAACAGGTCTGGGTGGGGTGAGAGTATGAAAGTACCAAAGATACAGAAAATCCATTGACAGTGTCTAGATTGGGTACTGGAATACGTTCTTGAAAATGACAGAAAATTAGTTTTGATCTGGGGCATTATCTACTAAATCTTGAGGTATTTTCAACTTTCTGTCACGGCCATATTTTTCATACAGTGTAACTTGAATTATTAGTTTTAAATGTTTTGGGATAAAAGTTTCCACTTCTGTATGACTTCACAAGACTATAGGCTACTTCACATTGCTGTTAGAATAGTTGACTCATACATATGGCCAAGAAATAGCACAATGTTGATTAATGTGTTTTCCCCCCAAAGAAAGCTAAACCCTTCTCTACCATGTTAGCTGCTACTATTAGTTCAGGTGGGGCACTTTATGCTATGGTTAAAAGCATTTCCTTATACTTGTTTGCACTGAATGTATAAAAAATTGTGACCTTGTGCAGTTTATCTCTTGCTGGTGTGTGGGCAAATACCAGCAATACAAATCTTCATACTGATGTACAAAGTATGGTGATTGCCTCACTACTAGAATGTAAGTGAATGGTTACTCCACGAGTGAATGAGAAATAGCATAGGACAAACTTAGATCCTGAGGAACTGGGGCTTGAAGATTATATAAGTTCTCACAAGCTTAACTGATCAGCTTCTCCGAGTCCTCTGCCACCCCCCCCCCACACACACACACACAGTGATTCAGCAGAGTGTCTCCCCTGGATATGCTCAGCCTTCATCAGGACATTCTTTGGTTTTAATTTACAATGTGTATATGCATATCTGGCAACACCGACACTCAAATTAGATAAAGATCCCTTCCATGTTTCAGTGGCTTGATCTTGCTGTTCTTGTGACTAGTATGGAAGTCAGCCACTTCAGTGCCAAGAGTGATGCTTGAAATAAGTACTCCTGAAAGAACTGGGTGGGTGTACATGTAACTGCCAATTCTGTGTTACCTTCTTTTATAATGAGTTACTAGGCAATTTGAGAACCAAATAAAGATCACAAGGGGAAAGTTATTTACTGAAGTAAGGTACTGCTTTTACCGATCATTATATGACATCCTAATAAATGTATGGGAAATTTTCCTAGAAAAACTGCAACAAGAAGATTCCCAGGCACTTGGTGGCATCACGGCTGCCTGCTGATGGGTTTTCTGGCACCCTTTTGTTGTTTTCACAGAGTGTCTCTTCCATGAAGCCAATAGTATGTTCTGGGTTTCCTTGACCTCATTGGAGCAGGAGGTGCTGCAGAAGAGTCCAGGAGGCATCTCTTTTGTGTCTACAGGGAACAACCAGAACCAGCTGCTTACACTGTAGAAGGATACTTGGCTTAACCTTCCAGCATATAGTGACTAACCTCTGTTCCCCTTGACAGCCATTTTGTGATTGGTCCGGCACACAACGGCAACCATTTAGTGGTGGCATCTGCTCCCTATTCTCAAAATTTCAAAAGTACCAGTATCAAAAAGAGCCTTGAAGGCCCTTGAACTAAGAAAATGTACTGAAGCATTAACTTCCATGGGCTAGAGCCCAGTTCATTAGATGCACAAAATGGAACATATATCTTGATAATGTGAGCTCTAGTTTGTTTTACTAACTGGTTAGTCTTTAAAGTACTACATTTTAAAAAAATTATAAATATTTGCTCTGAAGGACTTGGTACTGTAAATATACTAGGCTTTTCAGTGAGCTTAACCCCTGATGAGGATCCATCAAGTTTATTTCCACTTTTGCATTTTGCTACTGTACTATATTTTTTTTCTTCAATGTTTATAAGAACTTAAGCTGTATCAAGTAACTAATTCATTCTAGTCCAACATCCTGTTTTCCCTACCCCTCTAGGTTCTCTGTGTTCTGCCAGACATGTTTGAGTAACCTACATGCAAGAAAAATAACTTCTAGAATAGGGGAACAAAAATGTAGACTATATGATGGCCATAACCCGCCCCTGGCAACCTTATTCCCAGCTACATTTCACTACAGGCAGAAGTACTTGCAACACCATTACCTGCAATTGAAATCAGGCTCAGAAGCACCCTGAAGGAATCGCAAGCTCTCATTTCTCTGAAGCTTCATCCTCCCCAACAATATGGCATCCTCACAGAAGTCATGTGTTGATTTTGGTTTATGGTATATAATGATAGAAGGATTCTGATATATTTCAACCCTAAATTAAGCAGTAATTGCTAAATTTGTTCAAAGACATCAATGCATATAACATGTTTCTTCCTGGACATATGCCCAATTTCTGTGTTAGTAAGTTTTGTGGGTTTAGCTGCAGCTGAATGTAGCAGGAAGCAGGCTTTGGGAAACTAATTGAATTGTAGTTCAAATTACATAATGTTCTTTAGATTTCTAATATAAGGAAAGTTGATAAAACGTTTATAAAATGCTCTATACACCATGTTTCAACTTGATTAGCTCCCAAAGCAGCTTTCAAATAACATCTGCTGTTTAAAATAGATGTTGATAGTGGCAGACATCCACAGTTATGACTTCTCTATACAAATAAGTCTTACTAAGTGCTCCAACAATTTAAGCTTGGACTGGCAACTGCTAGAAATTAGAAGTGTTTCAGATATTATTCTGTCACCCCACTTTTCAAATGGTAGCTTCTAACAATTGGTCATGGTTGATGAGGGCTAGCACCTGAAAGTAGACCTCAAGGAAAACAAATTGGGAGTCACAAATTACCTACCTCAGGAGAGCACTAGTAACACGAGGCCTCGCAGAAAATAGCAACTTTACAATATTAAAAACTTAAGAACAATATAGTCCTAAATCTTAATATTTGTTGCAAACCACCCCCTGCCCAGGGAGGGGGGTGGGTCTAGCTCAGTGGTAGAGTATTTGCATCGCATGCAGAAGGTCTCAGGTCCAATCTCCAATATTTCTAGTTAAAGCCTTGAGCAGTAACTCATGTTAAAAGACTAATGCATGGAGAACCACTGTTTGCCAGAGTTGATGGTAGTTCCCTTGAAAGACAAATGGTATGATTCAGTATAAAGCAAGTTCATCTAGAATGCTTTGTATACTGTAGTGCCCCAATATAAAATCTAAATGAGCAAAAGGGATGTGAAATGTTGCCTGTGAAAGGAAACATTTGTGAGTATTCCCAATACATTCCCGTTTGTCTCCCATTAAGACAGCAAGTTCAAACTTCGACTAGTATGCTCTGAGCAGAGCCAAGACATTGGAATCATGCCCATTTTGTATAGATTTTTCCCCCTAAGGGATAGGAGGCAAACATAAAACAGAACATTTTTGACGGCATGCTTCAGTCAATAAGGTTCCTTGATGTAAGAGTTAATGTCTGTCATAACGATTAAATCCTGATAAAGCGAACCATACCAAGCATCTCCCCTCCAAGTCTGATTCAAGACAAATGGAGGAGATCCCCGCCGGCCCACCCTGCGCTGGGAAGTGTGCACCGCGACTGCTAATTTCCCCTTCGAGTAGAAATATCAACACACGTCCTTTCACTTCCCCCACACATTAGCATCGAGTAGATTCCTAAACTCTAATATACTACAAGTAAAATTCCACATTCCTTCTCTCTATTGTGGAGCGACTTCCTGCAGCACATCAATATCTCGTCCGTAAGAAAAAAAGTCCCCACCACTTGCTACAGCAGGAAGTACGTCCGTTCCTTATCATGCCCCCCCCCATTGCCAGAGACTTCCTGCCGAATATTTTGCGACTTCTCTCAGCTGTTCTCCAAATCGCTTTGCCGCTTTTGGGGAGGGGGGGCGGACTTGCTATAATGAAGGATAGAGTCACGAATGATCCAGTCCTATAAGACAAACAAGAGTGCAGTGAGGGACACCTTAGAGAAAATTTATTCTAGTAAGTGTTGTTGAGCCAGAGCTCACCATCTAAATTTCTGGTGACCCCGACGACGGTTTTCTATTGATTTCTCAGACTAATACAGCTACCCATCTGGATTGACTCAATGATCCCAGTCCTAAATACGTTTAGTACAATTCATTGGGGTTTAGGTTCCCAAGAAGTGGGCCAATAAGGTTTCTTAATACCAAAATCCTCCAGTAACATTATAAGCCACTCTAATTTTATTATTATTATTATTTCTCTGCACTCTTTGGAATTGGATACAAATACTGTTTCAGTGAGTGAGCAAACAAAATATACACACCATGAAAAATGATGAAAATTACAAATTATATAAACAATTGAATTTATGTAATGCAATTAATATCTCAATTTCTATGTACCAACAATTCAATCTTTTAGTGTCCCTTATAAACTGCTGATGCAGTCACATACAAGACAAGTTTTGGCAATTATTGCTGTAGTGGAAACCTAGGATTCACCACCCACCCTTAGTTGGATGAATCTTTGAAGTTTGTATTTAAGGATTTCCCAGGAAGAAGCTGGTGGCTTGTGAAACAGGCATGATAGCTGGCCTGTTGGAGTCTGTGAAAATGGAAAATTAGTCAGCTGACAACCTGTCATTTCCAGTTTTCAACAAGGTCAAATCATAGCACAGACATTTGATGGTTGGAATATATGGAGTTCACCTGTTGAATGAATGAATGTGACTGCATCAGCAATTTATAAGGGACACTAGAAGATTGTTGAGTTGTTAGATGAAGGTATTGATTATAGTTCCAGTACTTGATTCTGTATTCCAGTAGTAATTAAATAATTAGTAAGAATATATACTTAAGAATATATAGTAAGAATATAGTAAGAGCTGTGGTGGCTCAAGTGGTTAAGACGCTGAACTGCACACTGTGGAAGGTCAGTAGTTCAGCAGTTCGAGACCCGGGTGCCGCATGATGGAGTGAGCTCCCATCTCTAGTTCCAGCTCCTGCCAACCTAGCAGTTCGAAAGCAAGAAATTGCAAGTAGATAAATAGTTACCACTTCAGTGGGAAGGTAACAGCGTTCCGTGTGCCTTGGTGTTTAGTCATGCCGGCCACATGACCACGTAAACGTCTTCGGACAGCGCTGGCTCTTCGGCTTTGAAACGGAGATGAGCACCGCAACCCTAGAGTCGGATTCGACTGGCTTTCGAGCAAGGGAACTTTTACAGCGATTCAGTTAATTTAGATTTAAATAAACAAGACAATATTAAGGATTTTACAGCGATTCAGTTTTAGCATAGAAGTTTGTGCAATTGTTAAAGATGTAATTTCTTCTATCGTTAATAGATTATCACTAACCTTAGGAAAGTTCTTATTTATTCTTTAATGTCTGCTTCTATATTTGAAATATGTAATATATTTGGTAATATATCTGATTTTACTTGTTGTACGTAACAACTTATATTATTTGACAAACCTGATGAATTTATATTTCCCCCACCCTGTTTTCCCTTCTGTATCCCACCTTTTACTGAGAAAATAATTTTTTTAAAAATAAAAAAGATTGTTGAATTGTTGGTACATAGAAATTGAGATATTAATTGCATTACATAAATTCAATTGTTTATATAATTTGTAATTTTCATCATTATTCACGGTGTGTATATTTTGTTTGACCACCTGTCACATGATCTCTCTGTCTCAGTACATGAGTGGGGAAAAGGTTCTTGTTTACAGCTTGCCCAATTTATAGCACCATCCTATAGAAAAATACATAACTGCTAGTGGATCTTAGGTCTGATCTTTCTCCAGCCCAGACTGCATCAGCATATCCCAACAGTGTGGGATTATTAGTTGCTGGCAGTCTCAGTTTAAAGTGTGCAGTACCCTTTAAGTACCTCATCATCCTTTTAACTGTAATGCAATCTTTTGTGGTGGATGTGCTAAGTTAACCCTTCTGGATAATATACTTACAACTGTTGCAATGTCAGGTCTTGTTGGCATCGCTACGTATACAAGTTTGCCTGTGGCACCTCTGTAGCTATTGTTGTCTGGCAGTGGTTCATTGGATACCTTTCCTTTATAGAAGCCTGATTCCATTGGTGTGGGCACTGGATTAACACCTTCCAGGCCCAGGTTCTGCAATAGTTCCAGTATCTTCTGATTTTGACTAAGAA